GGGAAAGCAAGATGTGCTACCTGGAAAATTCTAGGAAAAATTCTCAAAAAATACTAAATGCGCCTTCTTTTACAAACACCCCACCCCCACCTTGCTGCTTAGAACGTAGATGAAATGACTAGAGCTCCAACTTGGACCACCGGGATGATGGAGCCAAAAGCTGGATTAGCCTAGATGCTGGATGACCACAAACTGACAAACTGGTCTGCCTTCTTTTACTTAACAGCCGTTATTTTGAAATCTTTGTTATTTTGGATCTCTATTATTAGAGAAACCTAATCCAAATTAATAAATGATCTAACATCCAACTTCTACTTTTTGCTACCTAATTGCCATATTCTCCAAGAAAAGTACAAACATTGCTTTATTAATTCATCTTCTGCTGCTGCTTCTCAGTCTTCACTGGTATGCTTTGAAATGCAATGTTTCCTCAGCTCTCCATTTTCCTTTCACAGCCTGTTTTGCTCTGTCAATGGTATCCCTTGTTTATTCAATTCCTCTTCTCCTGCTAAGGGGTCTCAGCCACTTATCTCTTCAATTTGGCTTATAAAATAAGCCACAATTCCAAAAGCATTCTTCTTGGGCAGTAGTTAGCAAGATTTATAAAGATTGGTTTAATGCCTTCACAAAGGAGAAGTAATCACAAGTTCCCAGACTTGTTCACTGATAACTTCATGGAAAAAAAAATATGTAATATGTATAAAATTCTTCTAGAATATTTCCATGTGAGCAGGTAGAGCTCAGGTAATTCTAATTTGAATGCTATTAAAGTGCTTATAATTTTGTGAATAGTCTGTCATTCTCTTAACTTGCTCATAATATTCTTGTTATCCTTAAATTTCAGAAAATTTTCAAGTGGCTAATTGTTTTTCTGTTAATCTTGTAAGATATTATAAGAATTTTAATTTCCAAACTGACAAAGATTCTTTGCATGGCCAAACTTTAGTCAGGCTCCTGAACCTCCTCCGGGCCCATCAGTGTACTCCTTTATAAAATCCTGTTTTAGCAAAGAAGCCTGCCAAGTCAGTTCAGCAAGAACCCCCTACCCTCAATATCTTATCACCTTTAATATCTGATAAGGATCACCTTCAATATCTGGTAAGATTCCTCATCCTCCACCTTCCCCCAGGTGATGTCTGATCACCCTAGCCTGTCTGCAGCAAGAATCCTATTTGGTCAACTTAGCCAGAATCCCCCTTACCCCTGATGATTCCTCTTAGTAATTTTCCATCCACCCACCCCCACACTGCTCCTTGGCGATAAACCCCACTTGCCCATACTATATTCAGAGGTAAGCCCAATCTCTCCCCCCAACTGCAAAACCCCATTGCAACAGCGCCATGTCTATCATGGTGGTCCTGAATAAAGACTGCCATACCAAGTATCATTGAATAATTTTTTCTTTAACAAAACTAAATTCCATTTTGGAAATTAAAATTTAATATTCTAAATTTAATAAATTACTATTCTTTCTACTTCCTTAAAACTATCTCCAGTTAAAAAACCTCTTTGCATTATCTTTGCTGTTTAATCTTTCTTTGCTCTAGATCTAATTTCTAGTTTTTTCTTTGCTTTACTTATTAGAAGCTGTAGCGTGTCAGCTTTCACGTTCTTATTTGTTCTCTTATGCTTACCACTGCTATTATATTTTTCATTCTAACTTATTTGTGCTTAATATTAATAGTTGCTATGTCCTTTTCCTGCTCTAAGTATAGATAACAACTATTCACTGACTTGTACTTGTGATTCCTGACCTTCCGTTTAAGCGTTACTCACATTATTCTGCTCTTCTGGCTTTGCTCTTTTGACCTAGCTAACCTGATTTCTATTTCTTCCAGGTAATTTTATAGTATGAGTAATGAGTTTAATAGTAGAAACAATTATGTATACTCTAGTAACTTCCCACAAATTCTCTGATGGAGATGACTAAAATTCCACAATCTGTGAGAAGAGGGCAATGTAAATAGCCTCAAACTTTACTTCTATTTCCTGCTCAAAATATTTGAGGAGCAGAAGCCTCCTATTTTTCTGTAACTGGAACTGACCAGGGAAGCAAGAAGTGCTACCCTGACTAAAAATAATTGGAAATTTCTAAGCAAAGGAAAGGTTAACTTTCATAGTTAACAAAATAAGGCAAGCAAAACTGTGAAGGCCTTCCTGATATCCCTATCTTCAACAACTTCTACATATGTTCCTAGGCCATCTGGTGATAGCATCAAACCTTCAAGGCTGTCTAAATATTCATTGTAATATTAAATACTAAAATAAATATTAAAATATTTAATATTAAATAAAAATGTTTAATATTTAATAAATATTAAAATATTTAATATTAAATAAAAATGTTTAATATTTAATAAATATTAAAATATTTATTTTAAACAATTTTCCCAGAATAAAATGTTTAAAGGGAAAAGCAGAGGATGATTGACTTTGGGCTATAAATTCCTTATTGTAATGAACATGGAATATTTATAACTTGATATTAATGGAATAATTTTGTATATGTTTCTACCTTATCCCCCAATTGGCAGTTTTTGAAAGTAGGGAGTTAGTCTTAAAAAAAGGAAATATAGCCTAGTTTAGACCCACTTCAACTACAGTGGCTCTGTTCTTATGTTTTATACTGGAATTCTGGGTAAGACTTTCTTTCAGTAAGGGGTTCAAATGTTACTTTGTTTTTAAGTTTTAAAAAACAATTGTACCCTATCAGATAGATTAAAATGACAATACCAAGTGTTGACAAAGATGTGAGGCAACTAAAACAAATTCATTTATAGTATAACTTACATGAATAATATAGAAACTCTGGAAAACTGTAGAAAGTATCTGTTAAAATACATATATATATATATACACACAGACACACACACACATATACATATATACATATATATGTATGTGTGTATATATATATATATCTCCTATTATCTAGCAATTCTACTCATTGGTATATACCCAAAAGAAATGAATGAATGCTTATGTCCACCAAAAGTAATTAATATACATGAATGTTCTTAGCAATTTTATTCATAACAGCCCCAAAACTGGAAAAAACCCAAATGCAAAAATCTGGGATAGACACTAGTAGGTTCTACCTGTGGTTCTGATGTGTAATTCTTGACAAAGCATACAGCCTTACTGGGCATCCATTCCATATACTGGAATGCTAAGTAAGGTCTCTTAGCCTCCTAAAATTCATTAATTAATAATTTCCTCAGTCTTGTTTACCTTAAACATAGTAAGTATATATGCAAAATGATCTCTTCTTGATTGGCACCAAAATTCAACTGTGGCATATCTTTTTTTTATTTTTGAGACAGCATCTCACTCTGTTGCCCTGGCTAGAGTGAGTACCGTGGCATCAGCCTAGCTCACGGCAACCTCAAACTCCTGGGCTCAAGCAATCCTCCTGCCTCAGCCTCCCAGGTGGCTAGGACTACAGGCATGTGCCACCATGCCCGGCTAATTTTTTCTATGTATTTTTAGTTGCCCAGCTAATTTCTTTCTATTTTTAGTAGAGACGGGGTCTCGCTCTTGCTCAGGCCGGTCTCAAACTCCTGAGCTCAAACAATCCGCCTGCCTCGGCCTCCCAGAGTGCTAGGATTATAGGCATGAGCCACTGCGCCCAGCCTGTGGCATATCTTTTTAATCCCTACTTGGAGAGACTACAGGTCTCGGGCCAACATATAAACACAAAGAGTAAAATAGTTACCTAGGAATACAGGTGACTAAAAATCAGTTATAATCTATTATCTGGAAAAAACAATAAACTGCGGTAAGAGTAGCTACAGCTTTAGTTTTCTTTGAATCAACAAAAATAACTTAGAGCCATTATAGTGATGACACCCTAATAACTTATAAGTAATCAATAACTGTAAGGTAGGTAGGTATAGGCAAGCAGCTATTCCTTTGAGATTATCTACATGAAGAATCAATATTTACTATTCAAATTCTATACATTGAAAAAAATCAAGGAGATATTTCTTGGTAGAAAAAGCAGGAAACACAAGGGAAATACACTGCTTTTTCTTTTTTGCAGGGATTATATATTACTTTGATAAATGGAAATAGACAAAAATAAAAATAAAATTTAATTATAGCCAACTTTTCTTCATGAGAAGACACTACTTGAATTTAACAGTGGTTTCTACTTTTATATCCTCATTACAATATATGTTATCAAGTCAGGTTATCAGATCAAGTTAGGGCACCTTAGTTGTGAGAAAGGAAGCAAAATTCCAAAATCATTGTTTTAGAAATGTTAGAATCTAAGAAACTTCTCGTATGGGTGAGGCTTCCAAATTCTGGAGATTCTCTAGCCTTTTCTGAAAAACAAGAGACAATGTATCCATCAGATGACGAAAGAAGCACTACATGTAGTAAAATGCCATGGAAAAAAGCACTAGCCCATTTAGACCAAGGCATGGATTCTAATTCTGGCCTTGCCATCTAAATTTGAGCAAAGCATTTTAATCTTTCTGTGACTCAGTCTTATCTGTAAAATGAAGGGATTAGGTTAGATAATGCTTTTATTTTTCTCTATCACTAAAAATTTCAAAATGCTTGTAATTCACTATGTGCTCACCAACCCAATGGATGAACTTCCTGGTATTAACCTTAATCCATACAAAAGCCAGCTATCCTTATTAACAAAAATACCTAGAAATTAGACATCAGAAGCCACTAAAACTAGATGTTAAGGTCTGAAGTCAATGAAAAAGGCCTTTCATTACCTGTAAATTGGGTTTGCATCCATGAAACAAAGACAACCACAATATATAAAAGAACAAATGAACTAAATGAGTGAAAGGGTCTTTAATGAACTGGCAGAGAATTCACCAATGAAACTATATCTGTTCCAGAAAAGATCTTCAGTTTCTACATATATATATTCACACACACGCATACATATACATACATATATACATAAAACACACATATATATATCGTTATTCGCTGAACACAGGGTCAAAATAAAAAACATGACTTCTACTCACTTTGACAGAGACACTCCCCCAGCTTTCCCAATCATCTCTTCATGGTGCAATACTGAGTGATTCCATGGAATATGGAGGAACTTTAAGAGTGTTCTCATCCACCGCTCAGGATGTAAAACAAGTTGTTCATAGTGAACCAACATGCATTTTTTATAACCAACCTCCATACATTGGTTATACATGGTCTCTATGGCACGATTCCACTTGATCAAACAGTCCCTATAGCTGTTCAGATCAAATCCAGCTATAGTAACTTTTCGAGAAATCATCGAATGTACTGATGCCCGACCATCTCGGACCATCAGGAGAAATTTGGCATTGGGGAATAACCCAGCAAGGTAAGTTAAGGATTTCAGGGCAAAAGGATCTTTATTACATAAATAAGGGGCTGGCTCCCCATGTTTAGCAATGATTTCTAGTAAGAAGGCTTGCATGGCAGAATCCAGCACTTCATCAGTGACACCAGCCTCATCCAAGCGGATCTTCTCTTTACTTGACCGTGACCAAATCTGCTTCAGGGCCAGGATTCGGGGAATGACCCTGGTTTCCTCTCCACAGCGGATATCAGGATGTGCATCTAACATGGCCCTCATGAGTGTGGTTCCACTCCGAGGTACACCTCCAATAAATATTAAAGGCATATCTTTGTGATAGGCAAAGGTTTTGTTGGCTTTGACGTCTAGGCCAGTTCTCACAGTGGTCTTTGGGCTCTCCAATCTGACTAGTCGGTTACGTTCCTCCATCCGGTGATGGCATTCCATGGCATGCTGGCCCAAGTAAAACACAGTCACAGAACTAATCACCAGACATGCCAATAGTAAATTCTGCTTCAGTTTTCCAACCATCTTGATGTGGTTATCTCGTTATTAAACAGATATTTTGCTCAAAATGATTTTCAGAAAATGTTCAGCTCATGGAGATTCTACTTCAGAAAGATGATCAACATCTAGTAGGAAAAGGAAAGTTATTTTATCATCACATTAAGATTGTTTACAAATGATCACCAATTATCGCTATGCATTTTAGCTAGAAAGAAGTTGAAGTTTTCTTGGATGTTTTGATATGCTTGAAACACAATATATACAAACAAAAATACATTGAACAAAAATAAATTAACATTTATAATCAGAAACAGCTTTCCTTAAATGTAACAATTCTGAAGCTATGTACCTGGCACAGAATGGAAAAATAAATAAAAGTATATCTATCAGTGAGTTAAGCAAATATTTAATATGGCCAAGCATGTTTGAAGTACAACACAAAGCTGATCTGTGGTATTCAGATTTGCTTCATCTCCAAGCAGTCACTATCTCCAAATCCTAGTATAAAGAGAAATTACAGAAGAAATATAAAATACAACTTCCAAATCTTTAACAGAGATTCAGTTTATTCATCCCACAATTAATCTAAGTGCTGCGGACCAGATACTTAGGCGTGACTGAGGATAAACTTTGAAAAGGACAGCAGTGCCGTGACCTCTACTCTTGGAAATCAGTCTTTTGGACAGACAGATATGTAAACAATGACAATACAGTATGATCAATGCCTCAGTAGGAATATGCAAAGGGACAATGGGAACATAATGAAAGGGAGCACACAGTCTACCTGAGAAAGTTGCAAAAGCTTTCTAGAAAATGGGAGAGAGGGATATTCTAAGCCATGGAAACTTGTGCACAAAAGCACAAAGGCAAGACAGACACATCATAATTACGTGACAGGAAGTAGTTCAGGAGAGCTGGTGTACAGGGTGCAAAGAAAATTGTGTGTATACGGGTCTGTGATCCAGACCTCAGAAGGACAGATAAGATTTGTACACATGGAGGATTCTAAGCTGCAGATACACTATGACCAAAGACAAGGGCGTGCAAAAGTAGGGGCACATATGTGAAACAGTAGGAACTGCTAGTTTAGCTAGAGTAAAGGTATACACTGGGAAGCAGACAGCAACCAGAATATACCAAGACCAAAAATATGTACCTGAATCCTCAGAAAGCAAGTATGATTGTTAATTTTATGTGTCAACTTGGCCATGGTATCCAGTTGTTTGATCAAACACCAGTTTAGATACTGCAGTGAAGATATTTTTTAGATGTGATAAACATTTAAATCAACAGATTTAAAGTACAACATATTACCCTTGGTAATTCAGGAGAGCAGGAGGACAACGTCATCCAACAGCTAAAGGGCTTAAGAACAAAGACTGAGGTTTCCTGAGAAAGGAGGAATTCTCCTCAAGACTACAACATAGAAACCCTTCCTGTGTCTCCAGCATGCTACCCTGCAGAATTTGGAGTCCAGACTGCAACATCAACTCATATCTGCCCAACGGCCCTATCAATTTCAGACTTGCCAGCCCCACAATCTCATGAGCCAATTCCTTCTCTCTCTCTCTCTCTCTCTCTCTCTCTCTCACACACACACACACACACACACACACACACACACACACACACACACAC